TTTTAAATCTGAATAAACATTATATATCATTAAGTTTTTTATTTTTTAAAATTATAATCTACTATCAAATTTGTTTAGCTAACTATCTATAAATGTATATGTAAGAATAAAATAATATATTTTTAAGTATCTTCAAGCTAATGGTAGATGTAATTTATTTTCTCTACTAAATTGCTACTTGATCCTCCTTTGAACTTATATAAAGCAAATTGCCATTTAAAAAAATATTAATTAATATGATTATTTTAAATTATAAAATTTATTTATTTATCAAATATTTATTATAGACATATGTTTCTAAAACTACCAAACTATAATCAATAACATTCATATCAAAATCATTACTATTACTTTAGAACTAAATAGAAAGTTATATTTGAACTGTTGAAATATCAATTTAGTTGAAGTTAAATAATTCAAATTTGGTTACTATAAACATATTATAACTTGAAAATTTAACATAGAGAAATTTTATCTTTTTACAAAAACCGAGAAATTGCATTTTCCGATAAAAAAAAAAAATTATTTCTCACGAAACTGAGAAATCGCTTATTCCCGCCAAAACCAAAAAAAAAATATTTTCTCGTCAAACCTGAAATTTCATTTTCCTACCAAAACAAAGAAATTGCATTTTCCCTCAAAAACCAAAAAATCACATTTTCCCGCGAGAACCTGTGTTTTTCCGTCAAAACAGAGAAATTAAGTTTTTTCACCAAAACCAAAAAATTTCATCTTCTTGCAAAAACAAAAAACAGTATTTTTCCGTCAAAACCAAAAAAAAAAACATTTTCCCGCAAAAATCGAAAAATCGTCTATTTCCACCAAAACAAGAAAAAGATATTTTTCTCGTCAAATCAAGAATCACGCCTTCCTACCAAAACCGATAAACTACAATTTTCCGCAAAAACTAAAAATTGCATTATCTTCTGAGAAATTGCGTTTCCCACGAAAACTAAGAAATCATATTTACCCTCGAAAACCAAAAATCAAATTATATGTCAAAAACTGAAAATTTGCATTTCTCATCAAAACCAAGAAATTGTTTATTTCCACCAAAATCGAGAAATTTTACTTTTCTACCAACCCGAGAAATTGCATTTTCTGCCAAAATTGTCAAATTACAATTTTCCGCAAAAATCAAGAAATTACATTATCCATCAAAATCTGAAAAACTACATTTTCTATCAAAACCGAGAAATCGTATTTTTCGTCAAAATTGAAAAGTTGCATTTCCCTCACATTTTCTCGTCAAAATCAAATTTTTTATTTCTCACTAAAACCAAAAATTCACATTTTTCCACCAAACCCGAGAATTCGCTTTTTTCCGCCATAACCGAGAAACTATGTTTTCCTACCAAAACTAAAAATCACATTTTTCTACCAAAACCAAGAAATTCTCTATTTCCGCCAAACCCAAGAAAATTTGTTCTCGGTAACCAGTGGAAATGCGAATCTCCAAGCTGTGGTGGTCTGAGTTTCTCCTCATTTGCTTTCGCCTTCTATTTTTTTTTTTAAACTTTGGGTTTTTTAATGGGTGAGCAAAATAGTAAATTGTTTTTATTAATGTGTTAATAATATGTATTATTGTTATGTTTTTATTGATTCAAATTTTTGCTGATGTGTGAGCTTCTTATAACATAACGCTTTTTGCATTGTTGTTATGGAAACATAGTTGATGATGATTCTATACTTTCTTCAATCATATACATCTCTATCAAGCAAACACATAGTTAGAAATTTAAATTTTTTTTGCTGTTATTTATTATTTGAGTTTCGGTTTGACAAAAATATAAAACAAAGATTTAATTTTATTATTTGTTGTTATTTATTATTTGGGTTTGTTAAAAAAATAAAACAATTTTTTTTTATTTGCTGTTATTTATTATTTGGGTTTGGACTTGACCAAAAAATAAAACTAAAATTAATAATAAAAAATATTTGAGTTTTTAATGGGTTTAAATTTAAAATTTAAAATAAATTGATGACTTGTATTAATGAAATGTTATTATTGGTGTTTTTTTGCTGAAGTATCATCTCCTAAAAGCTTGAAAATGCTGATGTGTCAAGCCATGAAGAGACTTATGAGTTATTGTTGTGTTGACAAGGTATTTACCCGCGCTATGCTGCGGGATGTTATTCTAAATTTTATATATTTTTAAAATAAAAAAAATATTTTTTTACAGTATAAATAAATATTATATTTATTTTTTATTTAGCATAAGTTTTGGATTTAGATCCTATTTATTTCTCCATCTATATGGTTCATTTGAAATAAAAATGAAAATTTTGTTTGTTTTGTAACAAAATCAAAAAATATTTAGATGAATTATCTAGATGATTTTTCAAGATTTAGATAAATTTATGAGAATTATCTGAATGAACCAAATTATACCATCTTGATGAAGATGTTTCAGTTCAAAATGACAAATGACTAAAATACTCTTAAATTTAAAAATAATAAAAAACTTAAAATCATATTTTTCCAAAAAACCACAAATTATGCTTTTCTAACGAAACCTGAAAAAAATTGTATTTTTTTTTCTAAACCGGTAAAATCATATTTTCTGGTAAAATCGAGAAATCGCATTTTTCAACCAAAACTTAAAAAACACATTTTACTATTATAAGTTTACTTATGATCATAAATTTTTCTACTCGCAAGTTATATTCATATTTTTAATTATGAAACTTTTAATGCATGTTTTTCTAACACTAACTAAACTAATTATTTTAACATTAATATTTCTTTAGCATTAAAAAAATATTTAGTAAAAAACCACAAATGAAACAACAATTCACATTAGCTTACATATTTACTATAGCTGAAGTTTATATATTGACCAGATCACTACCTTAAGCTCTAGAAATTAAAAAAGCTACAAAATATATCGAAAGAAACCAAATAACCATGTCAAATGTTTGAAGCTCGTATTTAATTGACCTCAGATCTTATAAATTTATTTTTCTTCAGTTCTTCTTCTCTCACATATGCTAGAAACAAGTCTAGCAACTACGAAAATGGCTTCACAATGTCGCAATTCCTCCCATTCTCCAAATCATATCAGCATTTCTTTCATCTATTGAATCATAGTCACTGGTCGAGATTTAGGCGGTTGGCAACTTTTTCGATCAGATCTCTGATACTTTTAAACATAATATATTTGCTTTCAAAAACTTAATACGCTTTCAAATATTTATTCATAAGTATACAATAACTTGATTAAAAAATACTCATTCTTTTGATAATTAATTAAAATTTGGTGCACTCTCTCTTTGTCAAAGTATACAAAATTATTTAATTTCAATATACAGAAAACATAATTTTCTGGATTTTTTACTTTTTCTCATATCTTTGCTTTAAACATGTAAACATTAACATTATCATACCTAAACATTAGTCACATTTATATGTATATCTCAAACCTTCAAACTTCACACTATATTTAGATATAGTATTAGTAAGCCATATGATAGATATGATACAGGAGTAACACCCAAATACAAAGGCCCAAAACATTAAAGTAATAAACGCAAACCTAAATACAACTTAAACTACATTTGGTGTTACTGTAATTGGATATCTCATCCGTCTTTAGCATCAGGGACAAAGCTTTACCAATTCAAAGCTTCAACTTTCAGAAAATTCATCATCACAATGCGATTGTAGATCTTTTTCAAGCTCTTTCGAGAACCACCATATCTCCTGAATATATCCATGGTTAAAAAATCCTTTTCCCCCCACAAAGTTGCCACAAAGTTAAAATCTTAGAAGTGAAATCGTGAGTTTGATGAGATAACAATATTAATTGATTCATTTCATTAGAATTTTAGGTTTGTTTGCCAATAAATGTTATCAATTAATTAGGTTAATTAGATAATTTGTAGAATAATTGAAGAAGATGGACGAAGAAGATGATGATAGGGAAAAAGAGAAAGAAGATGTCGATAATATACAATGAGCTTCAGTTTGTTCTTTTTTTTAAAAAATTAAAAATTATAAAACAACATGTAGTACATTATTAAAATGGTATGTTTTAATTTTTGTCATCGATATAATGAGGGTTTAATTTTGCAGTTATCCTAAAATAATAATATTAGGTTTCAATTTCTATGTATTGTCCATATTGAGTCTTATTAATGAAAAATTTTGATGATAAAAAGAAAAAAATTTGCCTATATGTTAAATATTGAGATGAAGTGTATTAATGAAATGTTTTAATTGGTTCAGTATTTTGCTGATGTGTCAGCTTCTAATAATACAAAAAACTGAGTTGTCAACACATGGAGAGACTTATGGATTATTGTTGTATTGATTAATGATATGTTTAACTAAACCTCAAAAATTTGAAACAAAACCGAAACTGTACTAAGTCATCCGTTACAGATTGGTTTTAGTTTGTATACCATTATTCATAAACCAAAAATTTGGATAGACAAAGATATCCAAATCGAAAACCAGATTAAACCACCCTTAAAAATCTGCATAATCCAAAACAATATTTACCAACAAAACAAGACAATGGAACACATTCAGATTGATTGATTCCCTTGTCAAAGCATGGCTGTACCTCTCAAATGAAGCTCAAATGATTCCAGCTGCATCCACTTGTTTGTAAACCACTAAAGCTGATTGTTTGGGCTAGAACTTGTGTTTGTGATTTTTGTTATGTACACATTCTAAAATCTCGGTTAAGATTACTAAATCCATCCTATGATTAAATTGTAGTCGGAAAAAATGCTTATTTTATATTCCGGAACAATGAATTGGACTTGTGTTTCGTGGTGAAAATTGAAAAAGATCATAGATAGTATGATTCTATATATATTTACCATTTTTATATTTTAACAATGGATGTTCTATATCTCGAAAGCTTTGATTTAGCTATATAAATTTAACGATTTAACAAAAGAAAAAAAAATCAAATTGGAAAACATGGAAGATATAAAAAAAAGAGATGAAATTTAAAATCCATATGTATAATTTGAGAAAGTGATGTCACAAATGATTAAAATCTTAACGAGAAGGTGGTGGATCCGTGCGCGGATCTAGTTTTCATCAAACATCACGAGCGTACATCTGCCACGTCAGCCTAATTTTGGGATTATTTGGTCGCTGGTACAAAGAACGAATCGCTCTTTCACTCACTCTTTTTAGTCAACCGGCGGAGCAATTTCATCAGTCGTCAGAGGTATAAATGTCAGGTAAACGCCGAAATTTCTTATTCTGTTTCCATAAATCTCAAATCTTGTCAGCCTCTGAGCTTTCTTCTTCCCGAATATGTTTCCGATTAGGATCGAGTGGTGGTGGTGGTGGTGATTCTCGGAGCATATGGTTAGCGCCGAATCCGAGCAAGAGATGGGGAGAGCTCTTCTTCCTCTTCTACACTCCTTTCTGGCTCACTCTCTCTTTGGGAATCGTTGTTCCTTACAAGCTTTACGAGGTCCGTTTAGTTTAGCTCGATACTATATACTTGTGAGTAGATGTTCCACTTTTTGTCAACTGTATCTGCTGAATTTTAGATCAACAAGTTTATATTACATGATGAAGAAGGTTATTGATAGTGTTGTAGAGATCTTTGATGATTTGATTATTCTATGGAATGCAGTGAAAATCTCTTTTTAAGTGCTAAAAAAAAAGTGTTTATGAGATTTGTTGACAATGATGATGACTTTGGCTTCAAGGAGAAATTAATTTCTTTCATTTGTCAACTTTTCTATTCATCAAGTGTTAATTAATTTGCAAAACTTTGCAGACATTCACGGAGTTGGAGTATCTGCTTCTAGCCTTAATATCAGCTGTTCCTGCTTTCGTGATACCGATGCTATTTATTGGAAAGGTTCTACTTTAAAAAAACACCCCTAATCCCTTTTTTTTTCATTCATTCATCCTCTGTTTCTTATCGTTAATTACCCATTTTACCTTGGATTAGTAGTTGCTAATTTAGTATTCAATCAGGGTATTGTACTTTACATTCATTTAAACATTTTTCATTTGAAGATCTTATATGTTATTTGGGAGTATAGAAGCTGTGTTGACTCTGTTTACTTCTTGAGAGCTTAACTTTCACTCTGAGAGCTTAGCATGTTGGTGCTTTACTTGTTTGTCTATAGTCATAGCTATCGATTGAAACCAAACCTCTATCGTCTTCCTTAACAGTAACAATATATTCGTTTCTTCAGGCTGACAGAAGTTTATGCTGGAAGGACCGTTATTGGGTTAAGGCAAGCTTTTTCTCTTCTCTAAGAAGTTTAGCATCTAGAAGCTCTTTCGATTTATGCTTAGTTTGATAATTTCCTTAATGATAGTTGTGATAGTTGTCAGTATCATCCATAGTTGTACTGATTGAGAAACTTATTTGTACAACAGGCAAATCTCTGGATAATTATTTTTAGCTATGTGGGAAACTACTTTTGGACACATTATTTCTTTAAAGTTCTTGGAGCGTCCTATACTTTTCCATCGTGGAAAATGAATAATGTAAGCAAAAACACAATTTACTGGATTCCGTTGAGTGTTTTTTCTTGTTTCCATGAGCTCATCATGGCAGGTTTCTTTTTGTGTTGAACAGGTGCCTCACACAACATTCTTCATGACACATGTTTGCTTTCTCTTTTACCACGTTGCATCGAACATGACCCTTCGTAGGCTACGACACTCCATTGCTGATTTACCGGATTCTCTGAGATGGTGTTTTGAGGCTGCATGGATACTGGCGCTTTCTTATTTCATCGCATACCTGGAGACTGTTGCTATTGCAAATGTATGTTCTAGTGATCTTCATTTCTCGTACATCTTTAGTTTTGTGTTTCTAGCTAGTTCATCATAGAATACAATTTACTTCGTGCTTGATCAAGTAAATAGCTTATATCTAAAATTATAATTTCTTCTTGTAGTCTTCTTAAAGGCTCATTAGGAAACTAACCTCTTGACAACAAAGTTAATATGTCTAGTTTGGTTTTTTCACATTTGCAGTTTCCTTACTATGAGTTTGTGGACCGAAGTGCCATGTACAGAGTTGGATGTTTGTTCTATGCCATTTACTTCATTGTGAGCTTCCCAATGTTCTTCAGGTAAACAGCAAAAAAACTCAAAACCATAGTTTTGTTTCCTGATTTTCATCTCATAGAAGCTGTAAGCGTTTGATTCATTGGGTTTTGCAGGATTGAAGAGAAATCAAGTGATGAATGGGATTTATCACGTGTGGCTGTTGATGCATTAGGTGCTGCTATGTTGGTAACGATCATTCTTGATCTATGGCGTCTCTTCTTAGGACCTATAGTTCCTTTACCAGAAGGACGAAGCTGCCTTGAATCTGGATTACCATGGTTCTCCCATTGAATCAATCGAAAGATGATCGATGCTTCGACCAATTCAGATTAACACCGGCCTGCACAAGAGTTTCCATGACCGATTTACGGATTTTTGGGCATGTTTCTGAGGTTTCTTTCTCACAGATGACTACTGCTTTGTTGTATTTTTCTTTAAGTTTTCTCTTTGATAGATTTACTTTCACAATGAAGCCTTTGAAGTTAATCATTTACAGAACAGAATGGTTTTGACCAAAAGAAACCCGAATCTGAACTGAACCAATTTGATTTGAAATTCATTTAGCTATATATACAGTAGTTAGGTTTTTCGGTTAGTGAGTTTATATAAAAAAATAAAATGATAAGTCGAGCAAAAAAATCAATAATACTGAATTTTTAGGATAAGCTAAAATTTTGAAAAAAGTTTCTTGACTTAAGATTTAGCGGTGGGATTAGTGGGTTTGAAAAAGTGTTTCAACGGTTGGTTTCTTGTGAATCAGGATTTTAGTAAACTGAAGGTCGTTTGATACTCTCAAACTGCATGTCTCCGCTTTTGTATTTCTTTATTATTGAGTTTATTGTGTTTGAGATTACTCTTTGGAGCTTTCGTCTCTCGATATGTTGTGGTAAACGTGGTTAAGGTTTTTTATTTAAAACAATTTATCGTCTTATTTACTCTGTAGAATTGTTTGGTTTTTCCCAACAAGTGGATGAAACAATTAGTCGACTATGTGTTGCCTTCTTATAGAAATGGAACATTTCTAATGCCTTTAAGAATCCAACGGATATTGAGTAAGAAAATGCCAAAAGACCCTTTTTCGTGAGAAAGAAGATGACGAAATCTCTGACCAAGTTTTATCAGTCTTCCTAACATATAGAGGGACAAATTTTGACAAAAATAGCAGTTTCTTTAAATGGGTTATAAAGGAAAATGGGGCCTTACAAATTTTTTTATAAAATCCCCCCTTGACCGAAAAAAAAAAGATTTTATAAAATCCCCCCTTGACCGAAAAAAAAGATTTTATCAAGATCCACTCAGCTCGATCACCCCAACACAACCCTAATCCTGGTGATGATTTTATCTGAATTTAACATCAACAATACTTACAACTATATTGGGTTTCCTTTTTGAAGATTTTAGTTCTTAATCTGATATAATCGAAAGTGTCATCCAGATTGGCAATGTGAGCTGACGGTTTTAACATTATGATGACAATGAACACAACAATCAAGCATCTAAATGAAACCAACGAGACGTAACACATTCACACAGTACTAGAATATATTCTCAATCAACTAATCTAACAACAGTTTTGCTCTTTCTTAGCCACAAAGTTCCTCTCTATAATCTAAAAACCAACAACATCGCAAAAGACCATTTGATTCAAGAACATAGTCACTATATAAAACCCCATGGTCATAACAAGATAAGTATTTTTAAGACATGTACATAAGATTTTTTTTGACACAGTATATAAAAGGGTGTATAAGTCTTCACTTTCACATATATAAAACTTAAAAACCCCTGACTTATATAAATTACCTGGCTACTCTCTGTCATCTATCAAACAGATAAAGATTTCTCCTTCTCCAGCAAATGCCTCCTTCTCTTAAGAACTTTTCCTTCTCGGGTGAATAACCAACTGAGTCCCTTCGAATAAGTCCGGTAAGTAACTCTCAAGATCATCTGGTGTGTACTTTATGTACTTCCCCGCGTGCCTACCGCCTTCTATCTGACCCTTGTTCCTCCCGTAGAAAGCCCGGTAAGCCGGAATCACTTTCTCCGATATCGATATCCTCAATTCTTCCCGGAGCTGAGGATCCGGGACCTTCCACGCCGTTTGAAGCCTGTAGAGCTCTTCGAAACTCGTGTTAAACCCTCTGAATCTCTCCTTTAATGCCATCTTCGAGGCGCTGCTACTCGAGCTGTTGCTTCTTTGCCCGTAACTTGGGCTACCACTTGAGCCTCCACTCATGCTTTCGTCTCTCAAAGCAGATAACACTTTGCTCCATGAAGCCCTGAGGTAACCTGTAGCGTACTGACGAATCTGTCCTCTTCTTTTCCTAACCCAATCGTCTCCCAAGAGCTTACCAAGCTCGGAATCTTTCACTTTCTGAACAACGTAGTAAATGTTGTTCATCAAGAACACATTTTGTAGCCCACCGTCTTCATAAAGCTTCGATTTTTCTTCGAGATTCGACTGTAAGCATGTGATCAACCTCAGCATTCGTTTAGCAAGAGGAGACATCTCCTCTGAACAATCATCATTCCCATCTAATTCATCGTTCTCCATAAGCGAATTCAATGTAGCTGCGTAATCAACGATCAACTTCATGTAGTTCATCACATAACGTATCATCGGATGAACCTCACCGTTTGTCGTCGGTCTCTTCGACGTTTCGTTCCGAACATTACTCTCAAACTCAACGAAAGTCCCTCTCGCAGCATCACCTAAAGCTTCCAACACACCTTTAGACTCGTTACAGACGAAATAGTCAGTGACCATAACCTCTAAGCTCTGCAACACATTAGCCAAAGCATCATACATATCAAGAATCCTAAACAGCTTCTCCGACGATCTCCTACCTATAGCAACAGCCTCACCGAAATTCAACAGCTGCATCACACAGCTTTTCGTCGTCTCGTTGAAACAAACCTCTTTGCTCGGCTCTGAACCGGAGAAGATCTCGTCGCATAGCTTCTTCTCTCCGGCTAGTAGAACCCTAACGGTTATCTTCACAGCTTGAATCCACTTCTTCATCTTCTCATCCATAGATTTCCAATCAATCTTCTGAACTTCTTCTATACTTAGCTTCTCAACACCAAGAATCACAAGACATTCGTCTAACGCGTCGCGCCTCACCGTGCTGTAAACCTGAACACACTCCTTCTCGTAACCGGCTCTGATCATCCTCTCGGCGATCTCTTTCAGATCTTCAACAGCCGTCGGATTAATCAAATCAACCCAGAGATCACAACCTATGCTTCCTCCTCTCTCATGGAACAGCCTCCTACTTCTTCCACTACCACTACCATCTCCATCAGCAGAAGCAGCAACCAATCCGAAATTCTCAAAATCCTCAACCACATCGCCGTCTGCGAACGACAGCGAAACTCGCCGCATCGAACCGTAGAGCCGCTCGGCGTCTAAAGGAACGGTGTTACGGATCAATATCCGTCGGAACTCATCTTCAAGCTGAGACATAGCAATCTGCAAAGCGCTATCAGCTCTATCCACCATATCAGGTTTGTTCTCAGAGGAAAGATCCTCAAGGAGAGAGATGATCTCATCAACAGCTGATAAAAATTCAGTAGCTTCCTCCGGAGATTCGTCAAATGAAAGGGAGAACGAAGAGGAGCGGAAGTTACCGGAGGAGGAAGACGAGTGACGAGATGAATCGTTGCCGCCGTCCCAGCGATGGATAACCGTCTCGACGGCTTCTAAACGAGCAGTGAGAGCGTCGTTTTGATCGGTCATCACCGTCCTGATGTTCGATAAACGGTTATCGAAGCTTGAGAAGATAAGCATCATATCTTCGCGAACCTCTTTCGGTGTGTTGAGACTCTTCACGATCTGTTGTGCCGTCGCGAGAACACGGTCCTCAGCTCCACCACCACCACCGGCGGCTCCTGCTCCGGCGCTGATACTCGCCGCCGTGGTTGTTGTCGCGGCCATCTATTAAAAGGCTTCTCCACACGCACGCACGCACGCACGGGTATAGAGAAACGGAAAGGGGAATACGAAATTGGAATCAGAACGATGAGTACATGGATTTAGGGTTGAGAACAGAGATCAAGTATTGGGGAAAATTGAAGAAGGGAGAGTATTTTGTCTAGGGTTTGAGTGGAACAAGACAGCGAAATGGAAGACAAATGGGGATTTTTAGTCTTTCCAGAAAAAGTCTTCAACGTTTTGGTTGACCCAATCAATATACCGTTTTTGGTATACCGGCTATTTCCGGTTTAGTCCTCTTTTTTTATAATAACATCAGATTTTTGTATCTGTATAAATTAATAGTTTTTATCAATTCCAAAATTAATGTATTAATTAAATAATATATTTATGAATTAATAATTTTAATAAATTAATTAAATTCCAAAAAAATTATGGTCCTAACATTATTAATTTATAGAAATTTTACTATAGTTATATCAATAATTATGTCATATTGTATGATTGTATCTATCTATTATAATAATTTAAGATTTTTTTTCATAAAAGCAATTCTGATTTAATTTTATGTGTTACCTTAAAAATTAGTTATATAGTTATGTTATGTTATATGTATTATAACAATTAATTATTTTTTTCATATACAGTTTTGAGATAATCTTATGTGTTACCTTCAAAATTAAATATGTTATCTTTAAAATTTACACAGCATAAACTTAATACTAAATAAAATCCTGAAAAAGTCTTGTTGCTATACTCAGTTTAATTGAAAGATTCACAAACCGGTTTACTATTGTAAACAAAAAATAAGATTTTTTTTATCAACCGAATAAAAAAGAAAGTTTTATTTCATAAAAAACATTTAATCATAATTTAAGATTTGTGTATAGAGTTCAGATGAACTTCAACGTAAATAAGTTTTCTTTGTGGATTTTTTTGCTCTTATTTAATAGCTACATCATACTTGAAATTTGGTTTTATAGTGGACTAGTAGTGGGGGTATTTTGTTTACTTAGATTTTCTTTCTTATAAATTATTGACTTATATAATATATATATACTTCTCAAACTCAAATTCAGCACCTTTTCATGATTTTGCAATCTGAGTTGATAGCAATATGTATATACACTCCAAAGCATAACTGTTTTTTTTATAAGTAAATATATATAAAGTTAATAATTGATTAAGAATGTCTTTTATAAGTAAAAACAAAAAACCTCATCATAATTTTTTAAGGATTCATGTAGTAATGGACATTAACCAATAGCACCAATATCATATAAAATATAATATATAATTTAGTGTAAAAATTAATAGAAATATAAACAAAATAAAAGTAAAATAACAAAAAGAAGCAAAATAAAAGTAAAATAAAAGCAAAAAAGAAATTTGGACAAAAAAATACTAATTAGAACTCTAATTTTTCACATTTTTTCATGATTATGGAATTTGAACTGTGTTAGCTATTTTACAACATACATAATTCAAAATTGTTAATTAACCATAATTTATTCTAACTCAATTTTTTCAATTTGATTTATAATTAGTAACACTTTTTACTTCTTATGAAACTCAAACTGTATCAATGTCAATATTCATGTTCTATTTTTCTTTAGTGCCAACATTTTTTTTTTAAGTCAAACTTTTACTTCATTTATTTAATGAAGGGAGTTAAAAAAAAGTTTGTAAAACCTCTTTTGCTAGGTTATCGACTCTTATATTAACGATTTCGGGATAAAATCGAACAAGATCTAAGAGAAAAAAAGTCGTCAATCGGCGAATATCATTAAGGATAACATAGATTTCATTATGCATCTCTGTGGATTTGAAGAGATCCATCATAAGTTTCTTTAGTTCCAACATTCGTGTTCTATTTTTATGCTAAATTTAGAGCTTAATGTTTCAATATGTATTATACTTTTTAATTTTATGATATCTTTATATATATATATATATATATGGTTTTTATTTTTATGAAAAAAATTCAAAAAACAATTATTCAATAACACTACAAAATTGGTGTCGAGTTTAATATAACAAGTCATATTTTATACATACTGATAGTCAATTTTAACACTAATTTTATACATGTCGAGCTTAATGTTTTTTTGACAACGTATATATATATATTACCTAATCAATATGACTTATTAAAAAAAGTTGAATTTTTTAAAAGAAAATTGATTTTCAAAAAAAAAGAAAAATCAACGTATCGCCACGTCATCGATAATCGATCCTACAATCTCTGCGTAGAGAGTCGACTTCACGTTTCAGTCTCGCCACATCAGTATTTATTTTATTTTATTTTTTCTTTTTTTCTTTAGAACTTCCTAAAAATTGTGCATTAATCATGTTCTTAGTATTGAGCAATTGTGTGAATCTTCAGAACCTTTTTCTTGTTTTTCTTTCTCCTTTTGTTGTCAGAAAGCGGTTTATTATTTTTTTCTTAAATTCCTGTTTATGCTAAGTGTTAAAACTAATTTATGTTTTATGCTAATAAGTTTCAGCCAAATCAATGGGTACAATTTCGGAGATTAAGATATGAAATAGAATTTTGATATAAACCGTAGTAGGAAGTGTCTTAAGCTCTAATTACAGCTTCGGTGAGGGTGCATGTACCGGACTAAAAAAACATGCAAGTTACTTAGAGAAAAAGTAATGCAAGTTAAAGAAGGAAACAAAAAGTTGATGGGACTGGCAAAAACTCCTTACAAAGGGGAATTATTATTCCACAGTAGAATCCTCTAGGCTTGAACAATGTTTTTTTCAAAGATTGGTAGAGGCGAAAATGTAGCTTTTTGTGGTTTCTTATATCCTCTCTCACCCTAGGTAGAAGAAAAAGCTCATAGAATCGTCCAGCTTTGCTGGTGGAGGCAAACATGTTTGTAGCCTTGTACATGGCATCGGGGGACCAATTCTCTGGTTCACTCAACTTCAATAAATCAGCCAATTTTCCTGTCTAGTAACATGGTCGAGAGCTTTCGGCATCTTTCCACGAGTGTATAAGCTCATAAACTTTCCCAGCCTGCATGGTTATATCAGAGACAAAACTTAAAAAGTAAAGTAATTTTGCAAGGACAAGGACAAAAGGAGAATGTTACTTTCGATAAAAGTCAGTTTCTGAAGCACAAGCTGAACCTACAACCAGCAAAATAAAAACATCCAATACAGCCAAAAAAAGAAAGAATTAGCCACTTAATCATACAGACGATAATGTCATTCCACAATCCACACAGATAGATATCAAGCAAACCTACGTGTAGAAACATCAATTTTATCTTCAAGGTCCTTGAAAGAAGTAGTAATGGCATTAGAGAGACATTTTGCTATCGAAGCCCCATCCTTGTGAAAGAGTGCATCTAGTAATAACTTCTCTTCCTCAGTCTCGCTAATGGCCAAATTCTGGTACAATACTACACAGTCAGCAATCTATAAGGATATTAACCATATAACCACACAAAGAAATCTAAAGCTAATGTTTAAAACTCACATTACAGTCAAATATCACCTCCCTGTCAACTCATAGTGTGATATAAACTTGGTAATCAAGTTCACTCTGAAACTCTTCGGATAGCTCATCAGCATCATCGGTAGAATCTTCCACCCCATACACTGCCTGCTTGAAAGAGGCGCTCATGGGTATTTTCTGGGCGTTTTCTTCATCCTCAACCTCCCTTTCCTGCGCATAGGCTTCCTTCCGGATCTTCTCCGTTAGCTGCACATATAAAAATATAAAGCTTTTTACAAACCCATCAATTTCCAAAATCAACGAAAAGAATCCGAATTATTTCTCACCTTCCGGTTTTTGCAACGCTTCATCTGCGAGGAGGCAGCAACGGAGATAGCTCTAAAGCTCCTCTTTGTCGCCATTGGAAACGGTAAAAAAGAATTTAGAGCTAATAAGCGGCTGAAAATCACCTCAATGCTCTGTGTAGACCAAACAAGTATACTGTATATTACATGGCCTAGATACTCTATATAAGGTATCTCATAAATTTTATATCAATTTAATTTGATAGTATAATTAAATTATAAATCTATAAGGAAAGAAATCAATAATATAGTGCCACATATAGAAAGAAGTCCTTTAGATGGTTCTCTCCACATCTTTCATTTTTTTTAAAAAGTATTTTTAATATTTAGAGATGAATATCTCCAGTTGGAGATGGTCTTACCTAATTAACAGATGGAAAAAAAAAGAATCCAAAATTTCTCACCTTCTGGTTTTTGCAACGCTTCATCTGCGAGGAGGCAGCAACGGAGATAGCTCTAAAGCTCCTCTTTGTCGCCATTGGAAACGGTAACAAAGAATTTAGAGCTAATAAGCGGCTGAAAATCACCTCAATGCTCTGTGTAGACCAAACAAGTATACTGTATATTACATGGCCTAGATACTCTATATAAGATATCTCATAAATTTTATATCAATTTAATTTGATAGTATAATTAAATTATAAATCTATAAGGAAAGAAATCAATAATATAGTGCCACATATAGAAAGAAGTCCCTTAGATGGTTCTCTCCACATCTTTCATTTTTTTTAAAAAGTATTTTTAATATTTAGAGATGAATATCTCCAGTTGGAGATGGTCTTACCTAATTAACAGATGGAAAAAAAAAGAATCCGAAATTTCTCACCTTCCGGTTTTTGCAACGCTTCATCTGCGAGGAGGCAGCAACGGAGATAGCTCTAAAGCTCCTCTTTGTCGCCATTGGAAACGGTAAAAAAGAATTTAGAGCTAATAAGCGGCTGAAAATCACCTCAATGCTCTGTGTAGACCAAACAAGTATACTGTATATTACATGGCCTAGATACTCTATATAAGGTATCTCATAAATTTTATATCAATTTAATTTGATAGTATAATTAAATTATAAATCTATAAGGAAAGAAATCAATAATATAGTGCCACATATAGAAAGAAGTCCCTTAGATGGTTCTCTCCACATCTTTTATTTTTTTTAAAAAGTATTTTTAATATTTAGAGATGAATATCTCCAGTTGGAGATGGTCTTACCTAATTAACAGATGGAAAAAAAAAGAATCCGAAATTTCTCACCTTCCGGTTTTTGCAACGCTTCATCTGCGAGGAGGCAGCAACGGAGATAGCTCTAAAGCTCCTCTTTGTCGCCATTGGAAACGGTAAAAAAGAATTTAGAGCTAATAAGCGGCTGAAAATCATATATTAAATGGCTTTGGAAACCTTTTTTTTTGTTAAAGGGCTTTGGTCTCCTATATTCTTCTCTCTGTGTTTTTAGTTTATTTATTTAGTTAATTGAAAAATCTATATAATCTTTATAATCTTTATTGATTTTTAAATATAATATGTTGATTTTACAAAATTATAGATTTAACATCGGATTTAAAGCTAATTGTTTCTATGATTTTAATAAATTTAGAAAAATCAACCAAATTCAATGTTATTGGTTCTATAATTTTAAAATACATATTCAAAACTTGTATTATTGGTTCTATAATTTTAAAATCCATATTCAAAATTATTGATTTCATTTTAAAGTGGATTTTAATAGATTTGAAAGGATTTTCATGTTAAAAATACAAAGATTCAAATCTGAAGTTAAACCAATGATTTTGTAAAACCAACATGTTAGATTTAAAAATCAATAAATTTTACAAAGATTATATGAATTCTTAAATCAACTGGGGGGGGGGGGGGGGGGGGGGGGGGGGGGGGGGGGGGGGGGGGGGGGGGCGGGGGTATTGGAAGATGAATTTTAAAAAACTTTTCAATTTGGAGATTCCATCATTATTGGTTTATAGATTCTTAAAATCTTAATAGAATCCATTGTTATTGGTTTAAAAAATTTAAATTTCATCCAAAATCATTTATTATTCAAAAAGTTTAGTTTTAAAGATTTTATGATTCTATTAATATATTGTGTTATTGGAACATAGATTTTAAACAGTTTAACTCATAAAACAAGATTTAAGAGGACTTTCAAAATACTACATATATAGCTTAGATTCTCAAAGTCATTATAATAAGGGGTGGTTATTGGAGATGGAGTTATAAAGTTTTTGATTGATTTTAAGAGATGAGAGATTTGTTAAATTTGTTAAATTTGGAAAGAGTTTGTTTATTTAGAAAATCAATGAAAATATTTTTATTATAATGACTTTGAGAATCTAAGTTATATCTTTATATCTATAAAGCAGAAGTCAGTTGTTAATTCTGAGTTTGACAAGTGTCTTTTTATTTTTTAAACCAATTTTCTTTTAGTTTTATATTCTTATAAAAAGTTTATTATTTATGATTTTTATTACAAAAATGAAAATAGAGAAACTTAAAATGACACGTTTAGCAACGGTTCTTTTTCAACACCTCTATGATCACCAGTCAGTAACACTCTTTGTATAACTAACTCTATTCCATCATTTATATTTGTGCGTCCACACGAAAAAAAAAACATTTTCTCTCCTATTCAAATCCACAATCTCGATGCTGGCATACAACAGTTCTTCTTCAAGATAAAATTGGTAACTCATATCATATATTTTTAATTTTTCTCTTTCTCAATTACTTTGGATCTCACTCTTTTGTCTACTCATTCTACTACGACCTCTGTTTATCAAGCCTCAGTCGCATGCAAGGAAGACCAAACTACAAACAAAACAAAATGAAATAGCGTTCTCTGCAACATACAAGAGCAGAACCGAACATAATCTGAAAACAAATGGTATTCTTAGTTCTTTTCTGTCTCTTATGTTATATTTAAAAAATCTCAATTTTATTTTTGTAGCCAATAAATCGTATCTCATGGTCATGGCTAACAAATACTGATGTGATGCAGATTTTAAAAGATGTGGAAAGACAACAAAGAACCTAACATACTACTGAGGAAAAAGAATATCAACAACTTTGTATAATGGAAATCATGAACGAAGAAAAAAAAAGTATAAGCAATTGATCATACGTGGAATTATAGGTACGTATGTACATTGCTAACTCTTTTATCAAAAATAAAATTTAAAAATCTATTTGATGGTGCGATAACACCTACAAATCATTCAAAGCTTTTCCTTTTTTCTGATGATAATGTTACACAATGTGATTTCAGTTGAAAAGCTACTTAAATAGCAAGAACATATTTTCTTGGTTACGAAATCAACATGTTTTAAAGTTATGGATAACTAGAGAAACTAGATCAAAATTCTTTTGTTTTATTTTATAGGAAATCTAATATTTAACCCAAAAAATCATATTTCATTGTTGTTAAATAATAATATTTCTGTAGAGTACTCTGTAGTATGCTCTAATGAAGTTGAAATTGTGCAGAAATATTTGGTGTCCAAACGAGAAGAATTCTACAGAGTTGTAGCGCAAATTTATCAAAAATTATGTATTGGGAATATGTTTTAGGGCAGACGGTCGTTCCGTACTTAGTACGGGTAAAATACTAGTAGGTAATATTTTGAAAGTCTTCCAAAATCTTATTCTATGAGTTAAATTATTTAAAATTTATATCACAATAACACAAGATTTTAATAGAATCATAAAATCTTTAAAAGCCAAACTTTTTGAATTAGAAAGGATTTTGGATAGAATTTAATTTTTTTTAAACCAATAACAATAGATTTTAGTAAGATTTTAAGGATCAATAAATTAATAATGATGAATCTTAAAATTTTCAAAATCTACATAAATCTCTCCCACAATAACCCCCCCTAAAATATTTTGATAGATTTTTTAAATATAAAAACTCTTTCCAATTTTAACAAATTTAGCAAATCTCTCAACTCTTAAAATCAATCAAAACTTTATAACCACATCTCCAAATTACCCCCCCCCCCCCCTAAATATATAAACCAATAACGCTCCCTTTGTATTTATAACATGTAAATCTTTTCAATTCCACTAAAATCCACTTGAAAAAAATCCATGATTTTAAAATCATGAACCAATAACACATGATTTAAATATAGATTTTAAAATTATAGAAATAATAACACATGATTTGAATATAGATTCTAAAATCATAGAACCAATAAGACCGAATTTGGTTGATTTTTCTAAAATAATCGAAACCATAGAACTAATAACCCTCACCTAATCTGCATTGCTCTCATCACCCTTCTCAACTTAAAATACCGAAATACCCTTAATTTTATTATTCAAAATATTTAAAATTTAATAAATTAAAAAATTGAAAACAAAATCTTACAACTCCTCCTCCAATCTGATCTCGATCCCCCCATCGATACTCTGATGTCCTTCTTCCACAGTCGTCGTTCGTCGCCGTCTTCGAGCTTTCCATCGCCGCTGTCGCAAGTGAAAACCTCTAGTGAGCTGTACCAAGCTTCTTGGAGATTCAGTTTTTATATGAAATTGAGTTTTGCATGAATTGGATTTGATTATGTAAATTGAGTTTTTTACCCATCCTATATGTGTCAATTAAGACTCTGCATTAACAACAAACATATTGCAGTTGCAAACTGTAATTAGATTAGAAAGAATTGAACCCGAAATCATTACATTTGAGTTCATGCTATAGGATAACTGGGTGCATGGTAAATAAAGTATAACTAGTAAATGTGTTATTACTAAATGAAGTTGCATCTTTCAGGAATCGAAAATCATTTTTTTGGTATGCACATTGCATGTTCTACCATGGTTTATGGGTCAATTAGGACTTTGAATTGGTAACAAATGGATTGCAATGTTTGATTCTGGTTGAATCGTAGTGAATTGTAAGTAGTTTAGAAGGAATTGAACTCAAAATCATCTAATTTGAGTTTCTACTATATGACAACTGGGTATAACTAGTATTACTTATGAATGAAGTATAACTAGTAAAACTGGTAATACTGCTGAATCAAATTGCATCTTTAATAATTTGAAAATCATATATTACGTCTTAACCATGGTTTATAGGTTGATTATGACTTCGATTTGGTAATTAATTGACTGCATTGGTTGAATCAAAGTGAATTGTAAGTAAAGTAAGAAGGTATAATTGTGGATAACTAATATTACTGAATGAATTTTTGTATTATTTTGGCATGATACAATGAACAACAACATCAACTTATATTTTATATGCAAAGGTCACACATATAGTTTATTTTTTAAGACAACAATGGAGAAGATAACTTTGTCGATGCTAGAAGTTAGAATATGCAAGAAGGTTGCGTTAGATGAAAGTATGGTCAAAATAAAATTGAGTTGTTTTCCATTGCTGGTAGGACATGACGAAGACTGGACTATTTTCGATGATGGGGATCTTCGTATTTATCTAAACTCCATTGATAAAGAGGATCATAGATGTATTTTGCATGTGGACTCATTATTATCTCGGAACTGCCTGAGCAACTTTCGAGAACGGGCAAAGAAAGTTTTGTTGGTGTGAAATGTGAGGAGTTGCATTCAAAGAATGATGAAATTGGAGATAATGTCATAACTCTATACGTAGGCAACCAACAAGCAGAACAACAACATGAGGCGATAAAGGAGGATGATGATACTAGGGAGGGTGGAAATGTATCATGTGATGAATATGTTGAGTTGCCGCCTATTGTAGAAGCCAGTCAGTTTATAGAGGCATGGAAAAACGGTTTAGGTGTGACTGTACTTCAAGAATTTCTAAATAAGAAGGCAGTGTAGGATTTGGTGGATATAGCCACATTTGTGAATTGTTTTGGTTTTGTTATAGAAAATTTGGATAAGGTGCGATTAGTGCTAAAATGTTATCAATGAAGTTGTAGTTGGGGTTTATGAGTTTCGAAGAATAAAGGTAAACATTTTTCTGTA